ACTTGATTTCTCAGCTTTCTCCAGCAGAACAGAGAGAAAACTCTGATGGTGTGGATCATCCAAGGGCTTAAAGATTGACATGGCAAAAATGGCAAAGGTGTGAGGGAACTGGGGTGCTAAAGTAAGTTTTCAAAATGACTAATCATATTCTCCAGAATGAGTAATGAAGCAAGTGAAATCAAAAGATAGGCTGAGCTGGGCATGATGGCTCATGCCTGTAATCCCAGCACTTCAGAAGGCCAAGGTGGGAGGATTGCTTGAACCCAGGAGTTCGAGACTAGCCTGGGCAACAAAGTGAGAACCATGTGTGCGAAAAAAAAATTTTAACTAGCTGGGTATGGTGGCCAATAGTCTCAGCAATTCGGAAGGCTGAGGTGGGAGGATTACTTGAACCTAGGAGGTCAGAGCTGTAGTGAACCATGATCATGCCACTGCACCCCAGCGTGGGTGAGAGACTGAGACCCTGTCTCAAAAGAAAAAATATATATAGGATAGTGTACTTTGAAAATAAGGGGGAAAAATCTAGAGAGTAGGAGTTATAGTAAGAATAAAGAGCAAATGCAATAGGAGTTGGAAAGAGAAAATTGCAGATGGAGAAAGTAGTTCAGAGTTCAGGGTCTTCGAAGAAGAGCGATTCCAAGTACTTCTTTATCAGGCCCCTAAGTGACTAGAAATAAAGTAGAGTGTAGGTGGACATCACTATTGTTGAAAAGATAAAGAAACTGTGATGTTAGAGAATTAGAACAGACATGGGGGAAACAACAGGTCTCTTGTTCAATACTGTGAACCCATTGCCCAACCTAGTACCTATAGTAGGCATTCAATTAACATTTGTTGAATGAATGAATGAATGAATGAATATTATAGCACTTACTGCAATTACTTGTTTTCCTGTTTTCTTCCCCTAGCAAACCACAGGCTCCTTGAGTCTTGCTTATTTCTGTGTCTCTAGTGTTTGAATCAAGGTTTGAGTGAGGGAATTAATATTGAACTGCAGAAAATTATGACAAGGAAAGGGAGAGACAGAAAAATTGTAAACTGGTGCTAAAATCCCTAAGGGAGGTGAACGATAAGAACTTTGATAGTATTTGAGTAATTTTATCAAATGACATTGATTCAAAAGAGGGAGCAATTGATAAGAAGAAAGAATGTTGGATTTGGAAGTGGCAATAGGAAAAATAATATTCCCATTTTCCTTTTCCCATCCTGGGAATTCTGGAGGAATGGGCACAGTGTTTTCTCCTTTGATGCTCCACTCCTGCTCTGTCACTTAGCCCTCCCAGTTTTTCCAAATTTACCTTACCTTGCTTCCTGTTGTCATCATGACTAGAATGCTTCAATACTCTTTTTGCCCTGTGAGGTTGACTTTGTCACTTTGGCCTTACATGCAACAGCAAAAAGCTAAGTCCCTAAGTATAATTTTTCAGCAACATTAGTACTTACCTCATACTTCTCCAATGATTCCTATTTGACTGTCAAATCAAATGAAAACTTGTGAAAATAAGTGAATTGCTTCCATTATGAGTTTATGCTTATAACTAATTCAACAAATTCTACAAACATTAAATGAAACAGCAAATGAAAACTTCCTGTCTTGAATTTAAGTGTTCACTACCCACCCCTCTGTAAGCTACCCTTACTTCAGTTGCTTTGAAGTTTGCACTATGTACAAGATGCCCTACCTTTCTCAAAGCTTCTAATCAACCTTTTCAATACCTAACCAGAGCCCTCTTTATCAGAACTCCTTGAGGACTCATTTTCTCTACCTGGCTATAATCAAAACAATTCAGAAACACCTGCCTGCCTTTATCCATTCCTCTCTCCTAATTACCAAACACTCATAAATGTTATATGTATATGCTTTTCTTACGTGTCACATTCTATATTACCCTATCAATTCTACTATATAAATTTCGCCGAAATCTATCTCTTCCTCCTTATCCTTGCTGTCACTGGCCTGGATGGTTACAAAAGCCCTCATCAACCTTCAGGGTATCCTGCAATAGAGCTTGAGTATCTTTAAAATGGAAATCTAATTATGCCCCCAAAGCACACACACACAAAGCTGCACACATGCACCCACACAATGTTTGAGACATTTTATACCCTTTAAGCAAAAGTCCAAACTCATTAGCCTACAGGGCATATATAGCCCACATTTACCGCTCTAACCTCATCCCACCACTTCTGCTGTCAAGCCTTCATGCCCCTGCATCCATACTTCCTTCTCTGGATTTAGTCTCCTACCAGTAACCCCACAACCATCTCTGTCTCCAAATTCCCTATAATCACCCTATATACCTATAAATTTATATACTTTTTAAAAAACCTTTTATTGTACAATAATCACAGATTCACGGAAGGCTGCAAAAAAATGTACAGGGAAGTCCCATGTACCCTCCTTCCAGCCTCCCCAAAGGTTGACATTTTATACAATTATTTTACAGCATCAAAATGAAGAAGTTGGCATTGGACATTGGTACAAGCCATAGAACTTATTTAGATTTCACCAGCTATACATGCACGGGTGTGTGTGTGTGTGTGTGTGTGTGTGTGTGTGTGTGTGTAGCTCTATGCAATTTTGTCACACACTTGCATAACCACAACCACAATTAAGATACAGAACAGTACTATCACCACAAGGCTCCCTCATGCTATGCCTTTATAGCTACACCCATCCCTAACCTCTGGCAACCAACTAATCTGTTGTCTATCTCTGTAATTATTATTTCATAAATGTAATATAAATGGACTCATGCAGCATATAATCTTTTGAGGTTGGCCTTATTGACCCAGCATAATTCCCTTGAGAGCCATCCAGATTTTTTGCATGTATCAATAGTTTGCTCATTTTTATTAATGAGCAATATTCCAATAGCATGGATGTACTAGTTTGTTTAACCATTTATCTGTTGAAGTACATCTGGGTTGTTTCCAATGTTTGGCTATTACTAACTGAGCTGCTATGAACATCATGTACAAGTTCCTACACAAAAATAAGTCTTAAATTATCTGGAATACATTGCCCAAGAGTACAATTACTAGGTCATATGGTAAGTCTATTTTTAGTTTTGACAGGAACTGCCCAACTATTTTACAGACTGGCTATACCATTTTAAATTCCCACCAGCAAGATACGTGTGTGATCTAGTTTCTCCATACCCTTACCAGGAATTGTTGTTACCATTTTTCATTATAGCCATCTTGAGAGTTGGCTCACTGTAGTTCTCATCTTTTAGGACCTAAGTCAAGAGTTACTTCTGTAGAGCCTTTTTAAAATCCTCAGGAAAAGTTGATTATTCCCACTCTGTGCCATTTCTGACACTTCATTTATTGTTATATTTTAATTATTTATTGACATAGTCTGTGTCTTTCCCTCTGTTTTCGAGCTACATGAAGCTAGGGGCTGTGTCATATTCATCTTTATTCCTGCAGCATCTGGTACAGTTACATGCTGGGCACACAGTGGGTGCTCAGGAAAATGTGTGGTAAGTGAGGGAAAGAATGAATGAAGAGAACATTATTCTTGTTGCCTCTCCCTCCTCCATAAGCTAGAAATCTTTTTAAAACAGACATCACGCCTTCCTCTGTGTCTCCCAGCAGCAGCTAATAGGGTGGTCTGTACGTGTAGATGCTCAATAAATGTCGTCTAAACTATTCAGTTAGCTTATCTTCCCTCTGCACCCAAAAGATAAGCATATGAAGGAGAGAATAGGCCCAAGTATCCTTGTGTTAGGGATCATAAGTCATTATTTTTATAATACTCTTATTATCTCTACAATCACTCAATATTTTTCTGTGTAGATGAGAAATCTAAACAAAACAGTCCTTTGAGTCAAAGAATGCCTCTGTGGGTAAGCACTATTCAATAATTTCAATACCCTTGTTACTTATGAATTTGGGAGGATGGCATTTTATGTCCCTGAATTACTTTCACATTTCAGAAGGATCTGGGATTTTTCTGGTTTTGCTGCACTGGTATAATTTGACATGTTGACTATGAAGAGGCCATTAACCTCAACATTTTTTATCACTTTTTAACTCTGTATTTTCTCAACTCCGATGTGTGTTAATTTGCACTTGTTTATATGTCTCTGTAAGAGTTACTTAGGCCCTTCAGGACTGGTATATATTCTGTCTGGAAAGTAGATTGTAAGCCCCTTGAGAGCAGGGACTTTATAACTCCTAGGAATGCATTCTGGACACTGTCAGTGTTCGATTAATGATAATACTGAAAGCTTGATTAAGGTCATCTGTCACATTGACGTCTTCCTTTTCATCTACAAGGCTTCTATCACAAAAAGCAGCTAGGTTGACTAGGTAGCATTGAATGACTCAATCCAAAATTATGCTCATTGTTACACTACAATTTGTTCTTCAGTGTGCTTTCAGATTTATAATTTTAGATCAGTTGTTACAGTTCCCTTCCTTACAATACCCTGGTTACATATGCATTAGGGAGGACTACATTTCATAACCCTTTAGTTTTTTGCATAATAAAAAGTTACCTGATAACATCTATGCTTGTAAAGCATGTACTTCTCCCCAGCCACCACTGAGAACCAGTGATTAAACTCCAAGTATGGTCCTAATCTTAAATAATCAGAAAGAATCCTTAATGACTATTCAGTGTATGTCTTATTTTCCCAGATATTAAAATTGACTAAATGTATACACTATGTCCTATGGCTGTTGAAGTTAAATTAATATGAATATTTCAAGGAAGTCTGAATTTTAAAATAGAAGGGCAAATGTGTTCATTGATGAGGGTAGAAGTAGGGGGAATTTTTTTTAAGTCAGGTTTATTAAGGTGTCATTTACATATAGTCTGATTCATCCCTCTTAGGTGGAGAGTTTGATGAGTTTGACAGGTTGTGTTTTTTTCCCTTAACTATTTGCTAATTCAACTATACCTCCAACTTGCCCCATCACCATCACTACCCCTAGACCAAACTGACCTATATTTTTCTGATATCTTATGTCCTTTCTATTTTCTATAGTGTACTAAAGGAAGTATACCAAGCCTTTAATCCCAAAGCAGTGGTCTTACAGCTGGGAGCTGACACAATAGCTGGGGATCCCATGTGCTCCTTTAACATGACTCCAGTGGGAATTGGCAAGTGTCTTAAGTACGTCCTTCAATGGCAATTGGCAACACTCATTTTGGGAGGAGGTGAGTACAAAGGAAAGTTACCAGGAGAATTTGTTTACCTTCCTCCACATTTTGTCTTTTGGCACTGAACTTGGGAAACTTGGCTTTCTTAGATTGGATAATACCAACCTACCTGTGGCCCAGAAGCCTGAGTCAATGAAATCTGCCACTTCCACAGTTCGGCATAAGAGAGTACTCTGACATACTTCTCAGTTTAGCATGTACATTGACTGCTTGGCACTCTAAAGTCTAAATTTCAATTCCTGAAGCAAAGATTATTTGGTTAAAGGTTACCTTGGATCTTAAGAACAGAGAATGTTAACCCCAGTAGATTTTGAATCATCTTATCTCAGTATAGTCTTTGATTTTCAGTTGTAATAATCATCTTTTGGGAACATATCACTAAAATTCCAAGTCTACTCGTAAGTAGTAAACACACAAATTAAATAAGCAGAATTCAAGAATGACTCTTCCCCCAAAAAGCATGGATTTGTTATAGTGAAGCAAAATTGAGAGATCTATAGTCTCCTTGGCATTCTTGCCTTTGGTGTGTGTTGATTATTTGTATTACTTAACCAAAAGAAAGGCCAGTCTATTCAACAGAAGCATTTACACCTTTGAGAAAGGAACTTGTAACACAACAACTACCACCTTTAAAGAAGCCTTGCTTAAAATCTTCTGCCTACTTACCTGGCACAATCTCATTGGATGAATACATTGGTATCTTAAAGTAACATGATCAAGCAGATTGAGCTTAAAATGCATGTATTATAGAAGAGTTAATTGTTGGTTGTTTTATCAACCTGTTAGGGGAAATTGTGGGGAAGCCTTATTAAATGAGTGAGCATTCAACACCAGTACACAAGCCTGGTCCTTTGGCAGCATCAAACTCTAGAAGGCTCAAAATTAAAGGTACTTATAACAGACAACCTCTTATGAAAAGCTGGCAAGAAATATATTAACTTCAACTGAAGGAAAAGATAAAGTTGATAAGTACTCTGTGACATATTACTTTCCTTGACAGCACTAAGGATAGTGATTATGATACAGGTACAGCTAAGGAGGGGGAAGAGACCATATACATCAGGTTAAAATCTGACTTTTGTTTAAGGCTATAATCTTTATGTTAAAAGTCTGTTAGCATTCTCTAAAGCCTTTTTGTTTTCTCAGCCCAAAGTTTTGTCTTTTGAATATATAACTCTTCTTAGGAAATATGTGTATTCCTAAAAATGCTTGTGCATAAATGGAATTTTTGCAAATAAAATCATATTGTGTACGTACCAGAGATAGTTTACTACTTAAGCAAAACCTATGATGACCTTTTTTCAAATTATATAATCATGCCAAATAAGTCTATCTTATAAATTCAGGTTTTTCCATGTCAGGAGTATTTAAAGTAATACCTGTACTATTTAACTGAAATTCTCAGCCCCTATTAACACATAGACAATTAGTAGAGAGGACTACATCCCCAAGCTTCAGAGAACCTCACTGAGGCCTAAAAGACATACTCCAAGCATCCCTGACCTTTCAAATAGTAGAAAGGCTTCCAGAAAGGTTGATCGTATGTTCTAGTTTTTACATGTTATCCCAGTGTGATGATTAATAGTGCCTCCTTTTACTTTTAAATGTATACCATTTTGGACAATAATTTATATGGTCACCCTACCTAAAATAGACCAGATTCTGTTTCCCTTAGGCTGCATTGAGATTAGGAAATCGTTCCATTTTACCCTTATACTCTTGGAATTTAGCTAAAGGCCAATGTTCTAATGCTTGCATGGCAGAGCACATCTATTCAGCACAAAAATATGCTGATTATTAGCCAGTATAATATGGCTGTTGGGTGACTGAGACAGGACCTGATGAGATGGGTCAGAGCATCCATCAGTGGTCCCTTCCTCATCTCACTCTCTTTGATCTCTGCCGCCAGGCCTATGTTTTGTGGTGAAAAGGAATGCTGATATTGAAAGAAGGAAGTCTGTTTTTGTTAGCATTTTCCTTTTCTCTTTCCTGGGCTTTTAGGGCTAGATCTGCCCATAGTTTTAAAATACAAATTACATTCAGCAGTCATTTTATAGAATTGTTACAAAATTCGTCACAGAAATTTTTCCATTGGTTAGATCACCTCAAGAGATCTGGATTCCAGAGATCTGAGTCTTGCTGATGGCTCTTGATGGAACTGAGGAGGTTGGACTCCTCAGGTACATATTTCTGGGGAGATGAGAGCCTCTTTAATCTTTGCAGACCTTGGACTTCCCAGTTTTACACTGTGCATGATCTGACTGGTCCACCGAAGTCTGCCTACTAGGTTGTTTAAAAATATCACAAAGGGATGTTTAAGGGAAATTCTGAAATTTGAAGTTATCTTTTTAGACAGTTTATTAAAACATTTTTCTCTCTTTCCTTACCCCCTTCCGTCTCCTGCTGTTTTGTGACTGTTCTTTCCTAACTTCACAATTCTTGACGGAGACAGGAGGCTATAACCTTGCCAACACGGCTCGATGCTGGACATACTTGACCGGGGTCATCCTAGGGAAAACACTATCCTCTGAGATCCCAGATCATGAGGTAAGTAAGGCTCTGACAAGTCCTCTCTTCTTTAAGGGGAAGAGCTGAGTCATTCCACCTAATCAAAATCACGTCCTCACCACTCAATACCGTTTTGTTGAGAGACACTTCAATAACAATAACACACTGTCTTGACAGAATAGTGGACTCTTGTTCCAAAATATCCAAGACCTTCTGCTTTTTTTTTTTACAAGATCTCAAAGGCCAATGAACTTTAATTTCTCAATTAATTACAGAGACTGTGGGAAGGGGTCACCTGTTCACACAAAGAATTCCTTGGAATATGTGCATATTTTTATCCCCTAGCCTCAAAAAGGAAGGGGCTACTTTTAAAATGTGTAAGCTGAATTCTCTATTTTTTTTAGAAGTCTTATAGGTGGTATGTGGCACATGTTCTTTGGTGGTAGTACTGATTGGCTCAATTTTCTTTGACTAACATAAAATTCAAGAAACCCATAATCACTACAAACACCATTGCTGGTGTTTTTCCAGCAATTAGTGACACACAGAGACTGGAACAGGACCAACCAAAATGTGAAACGTCATTTGAGCCCTTGCCATTTTCTTTAGTCATACAAGATGAGCTTTATGTTTTCTAAAAGCTAAGATGTCTGTTCTAGTTTTCCTAAAACAAGTTGATGGAAAGCTGTCTGGCACCTGTGGGTATGCTGATAATCCCTAATCCAAAGGCATACTTTTGTTCCTACCTACCACCTCAGTTCCCCTGCAAGCAGGAAGCATGTTATCATAGATCAAGATGTATAACCACAGACCTTAGACAGGATGACTTAAAATAACAAACCAGTACATGCAGCCCCAGTTTCTCAAGCTATTTCCCAAGGATTAGGGATGTTGCTTTGGTTATAATGTTATGATTTCTGCCAGATACAGTAGCTATACACTTGGGAGCATGATGCTTTTTAAAGTTGCTATTATTTTTTAAAAATTAGAAACAACTTAAACTAATTTCCTTCCAATTTTCTCCTAACCTCAGGTGAGGTCTAATATGTATCTCAGAAAAACCATTCAATATGTCTAGAATACAAATAGAAGGTACACTATAATTTGAGACAATTTGCTGATATCAGGGTTAATAGAAGTCTCTTTTCTTGATTTGACTTACCTTTATTCAGTATTTGGAAGCTTAATGAAATATAAAGGTAAGTGCTGTGAACAAATGTAATCGCTGTTATTGCTGTGGGAGTATCTCAGATTGCATTGTAATTTAAAGCTCTGGGACTTTATAAACTTATCAAGTTATGTCAGAAAGAAGTTTTAAGCTGTAGAAGCCTGAACTGAGAATGAATTCTCTATTCCTGAGAAGCAAAAGCAAATCCTAAGTTTCATCTATGTTAAAAGATTGATATAATTTTAATAAAGATGAATACTGCCTCTGGTACCTGGAGAAGCTATGGGCCTGAATGGGTGTAGGCTTGGCCTTATAGATAGATGTTCTATCTTTATACTGAAATAATCTGTAAGATTAAACAAGATGTAATATATGTCAAGTGCCTAACACATAGTTCCCTAGCACCTAATAGGCACTTGAAAAATGCAAGTTCTCGGCCAGGCATGATGGCTCATGCCTGTAATCCCAGCACACTGGGAGGCCGAGGCAGGCAGATCACAAGGTCAGGAGTTCGAGACCAGCCTGGCCAACATGGTGAAACCCTGTCTCTACTAAAGATAAAAACAATAGCTGGGCATGGTGGCACACGCCTGTGATCCCAGCTACTCGGGAAGCTGAGGCAGGAGAATCACTTGAACCTGGGAGGCAGAAGTTGCAATGAGCTGAGATTGTGCCATTACACTCCAGCCTGGGTGACGGGGCGAAACTCCGTCTCAAAAAAAAAAAAAAAAAAAAATGCAAGTATTCTCCTTCCCCTTTGCATGCTGCTCACTTCTTATACCCAGACATTTATGACTATGTCATTCATAAATTTGTCCAAACCCTTTGTGAATCCCTTCTGTCATATCCTTCTGGTTTAAGAGATGTGAGTCATGCAAGAAGGAACAAAGAATAAAATTGAAATGACAGTCTTCCAGGTACAATAAGATAACATTTTAATGAAAATTGCCAAAAATAGACTACACAGTATGAAGGCATATAAGTTCTGTGGCACAATACAGTTGCACACAAATATCCTTGTGGTCCTCTGAAATCAGATCAACAAATGGTAGATCAAAAAATATTTGCTAAGCACCCATTGTGTGCCAGGCACCATGCTAAAAGTATTAGGAGATGCAAAGAGGGAACTTCATTCCTTACCTTAAGCAGCTAGGAAGAGAGGGTGGTGTCTATGCTGGGGAGACATGCAAATGCATGGATAGTTATAATACAAAGCAGAAAAAGAATAAGACAGTAGGAATAGTGACTGTGGAAATGTACATCAAATATAAAGGGGATACAAAGGAGTACACAAAATACCTTGCCCTCCACAAGCTGAGAATATAATCAAGAAATCTAGTAGGTGAAAAGGTCAAGATAATGCAGCGGTCAGTTGCAGCTTGGCTGACCTCCCACTCTCTTTGCTCTCAGTCTTGGGCTTCAGTTCTTCCATGTCCTAGGGTAATAATCCTCCTCCTCCACATGCCCATTCCCCACTTTTCTATTATCTTCCTAGGTCCAGCTTCAAGCCCTGTGCCCTTCAAAAACCCTTACCTAAATACTCCAAGCCCCTTTGAGCTCTTCCTTTTATATTCATACATTCCTTGATTCATTTAACAATTATTTGTTGGGCCCCTACTATTTGCCAGGCCCTATTGATACCTTTATTCAGAGATACAAAGACTAATGAGATAATCCCAGTGCCCTCCAAAATCTCACCATCTAATAAAGGTGACAGAACAATGTGCTCAAATCCAGGACAGATGAGGACCATAGGGGATATTTTTCAACAAGACTTTGAACTGAATCTTAGAGTTTGATTGGGAGTTTGCTAGGTGAAGAAGGAGAAAAAGGCATTCTAAGCAGAGGGAACAAAAATCAGGAAGGGCCTGGTGCCTCATGGGGCCAGTGAGAAATTTGCTATGTGTAGAATACAGGGCATTTGAGAAAGAGTAGGAAGGATTAAGACTTGAATGGAAGTTAGGGCCAGATTATGAAGAGCCCTGAATGCTGCACTAAAGAGCTTTTTTCTATGCAAACAAATGAGCTTTAACTTTTAAAAAGCTCACTTGGTAGAGTGTGGAAGATAAGTTGCAAAGAGGAGAGACTTGAGAAAGGCAGACCTGTTAAGAGTTTCAAATATATACCTACAAGATTTATAGTCTGTGCCATTCATTTGGTCATCAGTGTTTTGGTTGTCTGTACCACATCCCCCACCCAAGTGCTTAGCTGAGTGTTAAGTACTCACCACCTAGTTGAGTGAATGAGGGTTTGAATATGTGTCTCAGTATTCACATTGGGAAACTTCTGTTTTTTTAAGATGAAAGAATTGGAAGCATAATCTAGCCTTTCTCTGTGAACGCTTAGTAGCGACTTTCTGTCCTTTGCAAGAAGTACCAGGTATCCCAGCTATAGGAAACAGATGTATCCATGGGAGAACATTATATTACCAATGCAGGGAAGGGAATTAGGAAGGCAGAAGCCCAGCACAAATATTAGAAGTGATAAGGGTGAAACTTCAAGCATAGCCCTCATGAAATATAAAACCAGTGATACCATAAGGCCGGTGATAACATAAGGCCAGTGATGGCATAAAGCCAGTGATGAGGCAGTTCATTTCAGCCCAAGCACTGGGGAGCCAGGTTGCCAGCTAAGCAGTCCCACCTGGGAAAGCTGAGAAGAATGGAGCTTGTATGTATGATTGGCCTAGATATCTCTACCATAGGGAAGGCCCTAAGGTTTCATGGTACCATGAAAAGACTAGTACATAGCAAATTTGGCACAATCACCTGGATTATTATATATAAAAATGTTCTATAGTCCAGTAATGCTGTTTAGATCCCATGACTTAATCTAGGATAGAGTAGGGCTGGGGAATGTGTGTGTGTATGTGTCTGTGTATCATCACATAGGTTTACTAATGAAAAATATTAACACTACTTAACCAGGCTGCTTTTTATGGACTGATTAAATAAATTGTGCCTCATTCATATTAGGGAATATATGTAACCATTAAAAAGAATTAGGTCAATTTATATACAAGTGTATGTTACTAACATAAAACAGTCTTGTTGCACTGTAACCTGTAGATTGCACTGAATCTATAGATTGATTTGTGGGGGAATAATATCATAACAATATTAAATCTTTTAAGCCACGAATTTATCTTTCTATTTACTTCAGTCTTCTTTAATTCCAAATTATAATCTGTACTCTCCACCAAACACATCTTACACAAATTTTGTTGAATTGATCCCTAAGTACTGTATTTCATTATTTTGATCCTATGTAAATGGTATTTTTATTTCAATTTCCAGTTGTTTGTTGCCAGAATATTGAAGTACAATTGACTTTTCATATTGATCTTGAGTAATGTAACCTTGCTAAATTCACTTATTACCTCTAGTAGCTTTTCTGTAGATTGCTTAGCATAATTCATGTAAGCAAACATGTGAACTGTGAATAAAGAGAGTTTTCCTTCTTTCTTTCTTTATAATCTTCATGTCTTTTATTTCTGTTTCTTACCTTTTTGCACTGGTTGGGACCTCCAGTGCAATGCCGAGTGGAAATGGTGAGTGAATATCTTTATCTGGTCCCCAGTCATAGAGGGAAAGCATTTAATCTTCACTATGAAGTGAGATATTAGCTGTAGAATTTTTCAAAAATTTTCTTTTTTTAGGTTCAGGAAGTTCTGTTCTATTCCTAATTTACTGAGAGTTTTTTTTTCTCACAAATGAGTGTTGATTTTGTCAAATGTTTTTCATCATCTATTGAAATGATCATATGGTATCCTTCTTTATTGTTAGTACAGTAAATTGCATTGATTGTTCAATGTTAAACTAACTTTGTATTCCTAGAATAAACCCTGCTTGGTCATGTTATATTATCCTTT